GTCCACTCTGTAGTGCACTGAAACTCTGTCCAGATCCAACAGCTGAGCTTTGATTCTCCTTAAACCAGCTGAAGTTCAGAGCAGGAGGGTTTGAATCACTGTTGCAGATCAGAGTCACTGAATCTTCTTCTACTTCACCAGATCCATTTATTGACACTGAGACGTTCCTGGGAGGATCTAAAACAGGACGAAACATTCATATAGCGGTCATATTTAAAAAAAAAAAAAATTTAATGTCAAAGTTACTGAACCATCATTAACTCACACATGACGTTTAAAGTCACAGCAGCAGAGTATTTCTCTCCATGTTCATTTCTGGATCTGCACTTGTATTCTCCACTGTAATCAGAGCTGATCTTTGAGATGCTGTATGTCTGTCCATAATTCAGATAGGTTCCTCCTTTAAACCAGCTGATTTCTGCAGGAGGGTACGAATTACTGCTGCAGCTCAGAGTCACTGAATCCCCCTCCACTATTTCACCAGATGGACTGATGAAGATCACAGGATTCACTGGAGGATCTACAGGAGAAGTATTTAAATTTTAAACTCTAAATGAAAAATAAGAAAGTGAAAATCGTACTAAACATGGAGTACTACAGTCAGCTTCAAATCATGAACATTAGACAGGGGCGCAGGAGACATTTTCAAAGTGGGGGGACCAAACAGCAAAAGCTGAGATAGTAAGATCAGATTTCCAGATATAGTACCACCACTTCAGGCTCACCGTCAGACCACTGTCTTTTATTAAACTTGCCTGATCATTGATCTGGATTAAATATTATTAAATATTAATTGATTGTATTTATTCAACCGTTGTGTGTTAGAGCACCGATTGTCTGCCCAAGGCCCGCACATTCCGGTTTTGGCTCTTCCCGTCTCACAGGTATGTGTCTGCTAACTAGTGAGCATCGAGAGGTGTGCTTGAGGTAACTAGTTTTATTCGGATTGTAGTTTTCTGATGGAAAACGTCATAGTGGTTGGTTGGCGGTTGCCTTTCTCATTCAACATGCTCCGGCTGTAATCCCGTGCCTTTTCGCCGCGTTGTCCGTTTGCGTGTTGCGGACTATAGTGACAACAAGAAGGTATGTGCAACTACAGCACATATTTGTACTGGTGCAGAATGAGAGGGACAAGGAGTACAGCCTCAACTGTCATTCTGCACCAGTACAAATATGTGCACGCGTTGCGCGTTTTGCTTGCTTGAGTGTTTCTGCATTATATGAGCGTTTTGAAAGTGATTCCAACAATATCGTTTCTCTTTGTCTTTATCGTTATAGTTGTGGTGTGGACTCTGCTATTCTTTAATATTGAGAACGATTTTTAGAACTATATCTTTATCGTTATCTTGAACGATTTTTAGAACTATATCGTTATCTTTATCGTTATCGTCCTTGGTGTGAACGGGCCTTTAGATGAAATCAACTGAAATAAAGCACATTCAATCTCTCAAGACCTCAGCAGAGGAGGAATAAATCACTCCACAAACAGCCGCAGCAGCTTCACTTATTACTAACCAGACTGACTTTATTGCTTAAATCATTATTTTTGCAGTCATTTCAGGGCTTAAGTGCTGCCAAAAAATGTTATGCAAAAACACGTGCAGGTGTTGGTCAGCGCAGCAAATATACGTGATCAAAAAAAAAAAAAAAAGAGTGAAATCTGTGC